AAATTTGTCGAGTCATTCACGAAAGAGTTCGTTCATCGTTCTTTGGAAAGTAGCAGGGGCATTCGTTAGACCAAAGGGCAAAACTACGAATTCATAATGTCCATACCTTGTCCTAAAGGCAGTCTTGTGTTGGTYTTYCGGCTCAACCTCAATCTGATGATAGCCGGATTTCAAATCAATCTTTGAAAATATTTTGCTTCCCTGCACGCGATCTAGCAAATCGTCTATTCGCGGTAATGGTTCGGCATTTTTCATTGTTATATCATTTAACCTCCTATAATCTATACACATGCGAAAGCCGCCGTCCTTTTTAGGCACAAAGAGCACAGGCGCACCATAGGGCGAGGAGCTAGGTCTTATCCAACCATTTTTCAACAGCTCGTCGAGTTGGGTTCGCAGTTCCTCCAATTCCTGGGGCGACATACGATAGATAGGCCCCTTCGGGGGCGCGCTCCCTGGAATGATATCAACGCGGTGGCGGATTGGTCTTTAGGCGCTTGTTATGGTGAAAACCCAAAACACATTGACACAGCATGTAGGAGTCACGTAGAAGCCATCCGTCTATGTCGTGCCATTCGATGTAGCAACTGCAACTGCGAGAATGGGATGTGGTGCTTCCACAGTCCTCACCCAAACCAGTCCTGTCCAGTCTGTAGGAGTGGCCCCTTACCATAGGCAACGGCTGCTCCTTGACTCAAAATTCCCTTCTGCCCAAACACTGACTGGCCTGTTGTGCCATTCTAGAGTAGTCTGCTCCAGCCGCGAGTAGTGAGAACCCTGTGAAGTTTGTCTTTCGTCAGTTCTGCTCTTTGCTCCACTTCCCTCGAGAGAGGGTTAATGGAAGGTCCAAAATTCGGGGTTTTTCGCCGCATCTGACGCATCACCAACAAGCAATGCCATCGAAAATGACACCACCTATTAACCATCAGTGGTTCCGTCCTCTTCCCCTCCTCTTCCCCTTCTGCCTCCCCCGCCCCTCGCTTCCTATAGAACTCCACCCCATCCTTTCCTTCCTCCCTCCTCTTGTGTACTACCAGCAAATGCATATGAATGAGCATCATTAAGAGAACAGACAAGATGTAGGCTGAAGAGCTGAGGAAAAATCATCGGGAATATACCTCCGCATTTCCTTTGCCTCCTTTCATAGCGTGCAAGTGGGCCGTTATGGCACAGGGATGCGGGCAGCTGGTGCTCAACGACAATCAACGTGGCCAAGTGGGCCGTTATGGCACAGGGATGCGGGCAGCTGGTGCTCAACGACAATCAACGTGGCAAGCCTTGCACGTGAGAGGCACATGGAGCTGCAAGAACGAATAAAAAGGGTACCCAAAGAAAGCCAAGGTAAAGATAGTGAAGAAAGGGATATAACCGATCTGTGTGCTTCATGTTGCCTGCGATAGAGGTAGAAGTGTTTCATTGTTGGATTCATCTTTAGTGTTCTTCATTTTCTGCAATAGTGGTAGCTGCTTTCATTTTGGATCTACTCATCTGGGTGGAACAGGGGCTGTTGTGGTGACAATCTACAAACATGCACATGCACACATATCAAAACATTAACTCATCTGGGTGAAAAAGGGGTTGTTCTGGTGGCAGTCAATAACACACACACAAACACACACAGAACTGCACTAGTAGTAAATGCATACGGATGAGCATCATTAAGAGAACAGAAAAAGTATAAGGTGAAGATCTGAGGAAAAATGAACAGGAATGTACCTCTGCCTTTGCTCTTTCTCCTTTCATAGTGTGCAAGCGGGCTGTTATGGCACACAGGGATGTGGGCAGCTCGTGCAGAACCACAATCAACGTGGCAAGCGTTGTACATGAGAGGCACAGTAAGAGGGGAGTTGCTAGGACAAATGAACTGGGTACCCAAATAAGCCAAAGAGAACACAGTTAAGAAAGGGATTTGAATTTTGAATGCTTCTATTTTGCTCCGGCTTGCAATAAAGGTAAAACTGTTTCATTCAATTCATTGTTGGTTTGTCTCCACTCAAGTGTTTTCATTGTCTGCAATAGGACTAAAGCTGCTTCGATTTTGAGCCTGCTCATCTGGGTGGAATAGGGGCTGTTGTGGGGAAAATCCAAAACACACAGAACTGCCTTGCTGGTATTTAACAACTGAATTGCTAATATGAATTGCTAATAATCTGAACTCCACTGAACAACGAGCTGCAAACGAGTGTCTCTCTGGTTGGTATCTGCTGTGTGTGTGAAGTCTGGACTAAGTGCAGCCAATCCCTGTTATGATGTGTGTGTGTGTGTGTGTGTGTGTGTGTGTGTGTGTGTGTGTGTGTGTGTGTGTGTGTGTGTGTGCGTGCGCGCGCGGGCGCCCGTGCGCGTGTTCGTGTAGGTGTCCGATCAACTGTACAGCATTCTGCATAGCAACTCAAACATCGTACAGGTCAGTTTCTGACACTCTCTGTTTCCCAACAGACTCCTGAGGCCTGCAGGTCAGTGTAGAGGAATAGCAGAGTATTGCAAGAGTAGCGGGGTGCAAATAGTGTGGATGTAAACTGATGTGTGCCGTAATGCAGGCATGATGTATGTTCTCTGGAGACAGTGAACAACCTTGTTTTCTTGAACTTTACATGAGAAGCCTGAACTAGTTATTCAACCAGCGGAGAGGTTTCCATGAGTGTCTACCACTTGTTTTTTGGTTAGTTTTGGGAAAGTTGTGGCTGAGTCAAGCAGTATGCTGTGAATGGAACCTTATCTAACTTGTGCCATCCTTATGTGAAAAAAAACGAAGAAGAAAAGCCTGTAAAACCAGGTTGCTCATGGTGAAAGAATCAGTTGCCTTTTTATGTTAAAAAACTGTGTTGCATACCCCGACGGTCGGTGGCCCTCGACTGGTTGGAGTCCGACCAGCCGACCGGTTGGCTGGTCGGCACCTACCAGTCGGGGATTGTCGGCACCCTGAAAAAAAAAAAAAAAAAAAAGTTCTTTTTTTTTGGGTCCAGAACCTAGGTTGTTTTTCCGCGCGCCCAAAAAAAAAAAAAAAAAAGAAAAGCGAAATTCAAAAATTTTAAATTTTAAATTTTAAAATTCCAGAAACAAGAAATGTTGTGTAGAATTGCAATACAAACAACTTTTGGCTAAGGGTCACATCCGAATTCCTCACCGAATCGGAGATAAAAAAGAAAATGACAAAATCACACGAAAGGAACCCCCTTTAACCCCCCTTAGCCCCTTTAAAAACAATTTTTACCCTCCTTCCCCCCCCTTGACAGCCTACTCTCAAAAAATGAAAAGGCCCGGATTTGGGGTCCTCTGGGAGATCGCAGAAAGGCAAAAAAAAATATCAAAAACTTATTTGTATTTTTTTTTGCATGCCTGGATACCCCGGGCGTCACGCCCGGGTGCTGTCCGACCGGGCATGAAAATCATCCTAGTCCAGAACCCCTAATAACCCCACCAACACCCCATACCCGCCCCCAATACCCCCATACACTCCTCCAACGCCCCCAAACCGCCCTGCAACACCCTCATACCCCCCCCAATACCCCCAATACCCCTTATACCAACCCTATATCCCCCTATACCCCCCCTATGCCACCTTCCCAGCCCCCCCCCAAATACCCCCCCTCAACCCCAAAAAATTCTCAGCAGATTTGGGCTGCGCTCAGCAAGCGCAGTACAGCCCCGAACTCAGATTTGAAAAAAAACAGTGGATGGCTGTTTTCAGACTGGTCGGCAGACCACCGACCGGTCGGCCCCACTGGTCGGCTGCAATACATTTGGCAGTCGGCAGGTATGCAACCCTGTTAAGAAAGGGCCTTTCACTGGATTTCAGTCGAATCCAACAGACAGGATTTTCACCATGTCCAATCCTTCAACTCTCCTACATCTTTTTCCTTTACCTTTTCCCATACCATTATCCAGTGGGTCCACTGCAGTGCTGTATGTCAAGCTTGGGTCTATGACCTTGGCTATGCCAGCAGATTTTATATTTTGGACCATTGGGATTGTTTGTTGCAGCTGTATGACTTAGATCCAGGGCATTGGGTTTGTGTTTGCCACGCAGCGGGTATTCACAGAGGAGGGTAAGGTACCGTGCTGTGACTAGATCCACGGCGGTGGATTTGTGTTCACTATGCACTGGGTGTTCTCAAAGGAAGGTAAGGTAACACACTATGTGCTGCTCAGATTGCTGAATGGTGGGGAGGAGGGGTTGGGCGGGTAAGGGTAGCATTTCGATCGGTCCATCGGTCCATCGGTCCATCGGTCCATCGGTCGGTCGGTTGGTCAGTAGGTCTGTCAGTAGGTGGGTTGGTCAAACAGTCTGTCGGACGGTTGGTTGGTCAGTCGGTCAGTCGTTTTTCTTGTCAAAGGAGTTGAAAGGACAAATGTTAGGGTTTTGGGGGGAGAAGGTGTTTGATGTGTCTGTTGCACTCTGTTGTACAGTCAACATGTTTGGGAACAAGAAATTGAACTGTCATCGTCTGCTGATGAAACAGGAAAAGAGAAAAGGAAAACAGGGGCTCAGGACACAGTTACTAGAGCTTTTTTTGGAAAGCATCTGGCTGCAATTGGGGCCATGTTCAGGCCAGAAAGTTCTAGTGCAAGCATCTCCTGATTTCCCCCTGGTTGTCAGATGGGAACAATGATTGACAGCAAGAACAATGTTATGACAGGGGTAGCTCAATCTCTCCAGTGATTAGTGGCCCGAAGTGGTGATAGGGAAGTTGTTTGAAGAGATTTTTACCAAATTTTGCATCACTAAGGAATTTATAAGCCCTGGATTCTACACTCGCTTCTGCCTTTTTTAACATGACCTTCCACTGGCAAGTCTTAACCACAATACTCGGTAACTGTGTAACAATGATTGGCTGAACACCACAGCGAACCAGATAAGGAGGAGGGGGGAAGAGGGGACCAGAAAGGAAGAAAGGGATTGACTGAACACCAGTGAGCTGCGCACCAGTGATTTCTTTCCAGAGTGGGAAGGATTAGCTGTTTGCCCAGCTGAGCAATTACATAGTCTCATGTTTTGAGCTACGATCAAATCTTGCGAGCTTGCTGATCCTTCTGCTGCGTAGAGTCTGGTTTTCCACCGCTGCCGTCTTCACCCGAATAGAACGCCCGGTCATTATAGCTGTATTTGGGGCAACATTCAGCCTATCGATACAGCTATAATGGCCGGGCGTTCTACTCAGGTGAAGACTGTAGGTAGTAAGTGCTATCAACTCACTATTAAGGTTTCTCTTTTTTTTCCCTTTCCCTTCATTGTTTGTTTTCTGGCGAAGCAGGCTATCAGCTGTGACGAGGCATTCATAGACACCACTGGCCTTGGGGACCCAGAGGCAATTGCTCTGAAGATTAGGAGGGAGATCGAGGAGATGACGGGTTGCACTGCCAGTGCGGGGATATCACATAACATGCTTCTTGCGCGAATGGCAACACGCAGAGCGAAGCCCAACAACCAGTACTATCTTCATGAAGATGAGGTACGGAAGTCGGAAGGACAAAATAGGAGGTGGCCCAGGTGGGCATGAAATGTGAGCTAGTTCAAGGCATGAAGGTTAGCTTTTGTATGATTGGCATTGGGGCACGCTGCCTCTCTCGTGACCGATAGTACTTTGTCTTATTCCCTCTATCTAAGGAAGCAAAGGTGCCTTATATACACAGTCGGAACCCACCATAATTGGCAACTCCCAGGCCCACTCGGCTGGGTCAATTCGAGATCCTGGATGGGCGTGCAGGGTTCATACACCCTGTAGTCTTCGTCTTCAATAGCCCGAATTTTCCTGAGGAGGTGGAGTCTGACCGCAACCTGCGCCATGCAGATCTTATCAACTTGGCTGACCGTTTGACCCGGCTCCTCTATATCATACATTCCCATTATTCCCCCCCCCCCCCTTGGCCCCTCCTTTTTGGATGGGCGTGGAGGGTTCATACACCCTGTAGTCTTCGTCTTCAATAACTTGGAGTTTCCTGGGGAGATGGAGTCTGACGGCCACCAGCGCCATGCAGATTTTATTAACTCGGCTGACCGTTTGACCTGGCTCCTCTATATCATACATTCCCATTATTCCCCACTGCCCCCTCGGCCCCTCCTAAGGACAGGACCACACAGACCCAGGTTGGCTGCTGTGCCAGCAGTGCAATCCATGTCGGATGGACCGATAGCAGAAGGTCATTGAGATTCGAGTGCAGGTTATGGCAGTCCTTCAGCAGGTCTTGAAGCTCCTTCCGTGTGAGTTTTCCATCGCTTGTAATTGTCGTCCCAGAAATGTTTGAGCTACCCTACGCCTCTCTCTACCCAAGCGGCCCATCGGCTGTCCCGCGCAGTCGATGTCGTGGCTTACCCAACCTGTCCTTAAGCCATTGGTTGAAGAATAGAGGCTGTCGAAGCACCTCCGCCCTGGTGGATGGCACTCTTACCTTCACTGGGAAGATTTCTCGTCAGGTCCTCAAGAGCTTCCACCAGTGGTGTAGACTGCCGGGGTAGAGGTAACAAGGGAAGTGACTGGAGGCGGATGCCAGGCAGAACTGGTCCTTTCCCTTGTTAATGATGTGCTTTTTGAATGGTTGGACTGAGAAATGCCTTTCGAAAGCATGCCTCTTGATCCAAGTTCGTAGGATATCAACAAGTTTCATGACTTATGTTTAATACCTGTCCGCTGTGTTCATCTTTCTGTGCAGGCTGAGGAGTTCATTTCTGAGCTGGAAGTGTCCGATTTACCTGGAGTTGGTTGGTCTCTGAAAGAACGCCTCAAGGCAAAAGGCATCAACCTATGTAAGGAACTCAGGCGTCTCTCTAAGGTGCGATACAAATTCCCACTGAACTCTTTTTTGAAGTTCTTAGAACATTCAAGCTTTGAAGCTGTGTCAGTGTGGAAGTTTACTCCAACGAATACTTTGGTTTTGGTGTTCGCAGTTGGATGGGCACAACAAACCAGCTGATAACATGCAGAGCCGCAGGGAGGCTCTTGCTGCGGCGAATGGACGGATGGAAGGGTTGGACGGATGGGCAGATGGGCGACTGGGCGGCTGGTCAGATGAGCAGATGAACGGATGGAGGGATTAAGGGATTGAGGGATGGACGTATTGGACGGATCAGACAGATGGGTGGATGGGCAGATGAATGGATGGACAGATGTACAGAGTGCTGTTTGTTTTGAGGAGTGACACGCTATGGGTGACCAATGGCCAATGGTTCTGTTGTTTCCTGCTATCCATACTTACCACTCAATTGAATACAGGAGAAGGAAAGGATGAAAAATGATGTAACTTCATGTGAGAAAGATAACAAAGGTGAAAAATGATGTAAGAAAGATAACAAAGGTGCATTTCACATAGGTTGATTGAGGTCATAAGATCTCTGGTCAGTGACTTTCACTGATTGCTTCCAAGTTCAGAAGGTCAACATTGAATGACCATTTCTCCCTGTTGATGGTGTTCTCTTGGTAGTGAACGAGGCCAACCAATCATTGTCTTCTTCCTTCTTCCTCCTGTTTTCTTTGTGTGGAATTTTTTCAAAGCATATCCTTATGGCTATGTCCGCTCCTATCCCGGGGATCTTCAGTCCAGTTCCCAACCCGGCAGTGAGTCAAGTATGCTAGATACAGAATGCACTCACAATCCTCCATGTTCTGGCTGGGAGGGCGTGGGCTATTCCTAACCAAAATATCTACCTACCTGCAAATACTCTCACTTCTTGGCTCCTCAGTCGAAAACTGTGTGTTGTGTGTCACAGTGCTCACAGTCTTAGTAGCAGCAGTGCCATATTGCTAGTTGCATGATGGTAGAACTGGCCTGCATTCGTGAGCCGTTGATCATAAGGATAAGCGGCGTAATATTGCTTTATTTCCTTTTTCGAAACCACTGCTGGCCCTGAGCCTGTTGGATCCTTGACTTGGAGGTTCCTCAACTACCCAGCAGCGCTTTCAATTGCAGGCAGTCACTATCCTCTACCCGGAGGTTGCCGCATCTGGACTACCTAGGCACTTTCAAATGCAGGGAGCCACAATGCATAATCAGATGCCAAGACAGCGCTTTGACAGCACAAAGGGCCCATTGAAATGCTTCTTGTGTGGCTAGTCCAGACCATCGTCAAGCTGCTACCATGCTAACCTATGTGGCTGGCATACATGCGGCTACGAGCCATCAGGGCAAGTGGAGCTTTGAATGGATTTGCGGCCCTTGGGGGGGCAGTGCTGAATAGCCTGTAAAACGGTGCATTTCAACACCCTCTCACCTGAGTCTCTGACCGCTTAGTTTTGAGAAAAGGCCCCTGTCACCCCCTTTCCATGCTTCCTCCTCCCGCTCAAACTGGCCTGTGTGCTGTTGGCCAATTGAATAAAATTAAAAATGATGAAAATAAAGTCTGGCTGGACAACAGCTAGATAGGTTGGGGGCCACTGGAGGTTTCTAGCTTCAAGACAGTTGCGAGAAGTTTTCGGCTACAATAAGAGCTTGTGAAACGTGTTATTTTAACTTATTAATATTGAAGGCTTATTTTCTGCTTGCACAAGTGGTTGTACCCCCTAAAATAAACCAGACTGACACAGTGACTAACCTATCACTTATCGTAGCCTGGTCTGACCACTCCCTCAAGAAGAAGCATGATTGCAGAATTGAGTAGCATGCACCACTTAGCATCTAGCGGCTACTCTTACACATCACGTATAGCCGATGCTCCATGTCAGATTAGGCTAGACATCACAAGGTACTCATTGACAATAGAAACAAGACTTTATCAACATTTGTATTATCTGTCGGGAAAAAAACAAATCTGGTCATTCTGTCCATCATTCTTTCTATTGTCTAGCTCATAGGAGTCGCGCCGGGAGCGGCGACTGCCGCGGGGCGCAACCGCGGGGTATTGACGCAGCCTGTTCACTCGCGCCGTGTTGAGCGAAGGCAGGTAGTGGACACACAGCGCCATCGATGGTGAGTGGCGAAGACACACCATAGCTGGGAGAAGGTGCGTGTGCGATAGCCTGCCATGACTTTCGGTGGGGGAGAACGGGGTCCGATTAAGGCGGGTCGCACGTGGTAAGCTTGGAAACCGAAAGCGGACTACACACGTGCATGGAAGACCTGCGTGGGGACTTGGGCGCGAACCAAAGGGAGAACACATCGACGGGAGAATTCGGCGGAAGAAAAAAGACTCGCATGCGGACAACATCGTCAATCTAGCGGGCAGAGGCTGGGGGGAGAGCAGAAAGAGGCGCAGATATGGACAAAGGGCTTCGTCGACGACAGTGGACAGCATCACCAATTGGTTGAAGGGAAGTTTTCTCTATTCAATAGGCGAGGATAGGATAAAAGAGGGGGAGGATAGAGAGGGGGGGCGCGCTGGTTTTTTGGACAGCGCCACGGTGGTTCTTCATTTCTTGCCCCCGGCGGGATTGCCACATCGGGAGGGGGCAGGGTATTGGAAGCTTGTCATCTCGCCCCGGCGGGATTGCAACATCGGGTGGAGGCTGGGTATCGGGAGTTTTGAGTTATTGTCGGCAGTAGGGGAAGAAGACAGGGAGACGAAGAAAGAAAAAAAAGTGGGAACGAGAAGAGTAACTGGGCAAGACGCGAGTAAAGGCAGTAGAAAGAAAGAACGAACAGGGGGCGAGGATGGGGATGAAAAGTTAAAAAATGAGGGAGGAGAGACGAAGAAAATCGGCAACCAAAACGGAGAGGAAAAGGTAGGGAGGATAACGCATGCAGGAGGGACGAGGGACAGTGAGGGTTTCGGGTGGGGGAACGAGGGGAGTAAACGGACGGGCCGGGATCGAAAAGAGACCAGTGGCGGACAAGGAAGAGAAAGGGAGGGAGGACGAGGGGGTTGAGAGCGAGGCAAGGACGGCTGTATACGACATCCGGGCGGAAAAGGACGGATTAGAAAGACAGGCAAAGGGATCTGAGGAAAGGGGGAGAAGGGGAGTCGGAACGAGGGAAGGGCAGCGTGAGCGGTGCGAAAAAGAAGAAAGAAACAGTGAGGAAGAGAGGTACGTATCAACAAAAACACGGGGAAAGAGGGGGCGGGTACGAGGGGGAGGGAGATGTTTTTTTGGACAGGATCGCAGAAGAATTCTACACCGCGTTGGGGGGGGGCTCGGGAGTGTGACTGGTGGTGGCAACGGAAGATCACACGTGGGGGGTTTGGCAAACGGCGAAAGACACGATCTGGAACAAACCAGGGCGGCGTGTGGAGGCGAGATCGTCCGATCAGGTAAGAGGAAGGGTCTGTGGGAGGATCACGGGCACGCGTCAGCAGGAGAGTCACGGAGAGCGGCAGGGCAGGGAGAGAACAGGGTCGGCACTGGGAACAGGATAGAGGAAGGAGAAATGGAAGTGCCTCTCCGCGTCACATACCAAACAGTCCCCGGAGAATTAATAAATCCCCCCCCCAAAAAAAAAGAAACTTCAAAAAAAAAAAAAAAAAAATTCAACAAGCAAAACCGGCCAATCTGTACAAACAACGAAAGAAAAAGAATAATTAAAACAAGACGGACCCAGTGAGCAAGCAAACCGCCTGTCGCAGCAAGCAGACTGCCTGGTGCAGCAACATGAAGACCCCGAACAGAATGCAGCGGGCACACAAGCGATTAGATTCCATGTTGTTCTATAGCGGGGCCATGAGACAACTGGCAGACGAACACCTTCGACAAAAACGTTGGCATCACCAAAATAATCACACAAAACCACTTCTGAAAGGGCTAGACCTGAGCAAGGAAGTACAACAGACAGATGACACAGGGATCCTTACGGAAGAGGAGAGAGAGTTGGAGTCACGAGGGAAAACGCAGAATAAGGAAGGAAGCCCCACTCCCACCTCGGGGTCGAGCGGTGACCAGCAGCAGTCCACCTGGGCAGACAAACTGAGAGAGCCGCGCCGGGGGCTGGCCTTGACCATCCCCCGGGGACATGGCAGCCCGCGGACTGGGAACCTCGAGATCCCGCTGGGCGGGTTACCGACCGCACAAGCTTTTTTCATGTCGAAATTCTTACTCCCGTCTGAAACAAGGGTGGTGATGCACGGGGGCAAACAGGTTATGGTGAAGGCATACCCCAAAAGTGGGTTAGCTTGCCGGGATGATGTCTACATGAAACACGCAAACAATTGGGTGTTTCATGATGACGCTGCGTATAAATTGGTTAATGAGAAAGTGAAATGGATCTGTCACCGTCTGGAGACATTGAAGAACGGTGCGGAACTGGCGCGCGACCAATTTCCGATCCAACCTGTGTCCAACACTCTGTTCACAGTCCTGTACCTACACGAATCAGACAAATGTGTGATTGATGGGTGGAAACGTCTTCGCTGTGAACGGTTGGAGGTCAGGATTCACCCCTGGACGCCGCAGCGAAAATTGGGGCCGGAGGAGAGGAGAGTGCAATTAATGCAAGAGTTCTTTTGGGTGGAATTTCGATATCCCGGTCGAAATCCAGGCCGCATTCGTTTATGATTTCGGACTGTTGTACGACATTGTCGCGTTCATTGACCCCCTCCCCTCCTTTGTGGCCAAGAGGGACGATTACCTGATGTTGGCACTGGACTTCCCCCAGGGCCAACCATTCTCCCTCGACGACGTGATTCCGTACCAGGTTGGAGGAAAAGAATACATGATTCACACAGCGCACAAATTGAGACCGTGGTGCCACAAGTGTAGGGCTTACGGACACCTGTGTACGGAACACATCTGCCCACTTCACCGCAGAAGAAGTCTCGGACAACGGGGAGACTGCTGAGAGACCCGGTCAAAGTAACCCATTGGAGGACAGTGGATCCGAGACATGAAGGATGGGTCTACATCGAGGACCGAACAATGGACGGTTCCCCAACTGGGTGGAAATGGGAAAGTAACGGGGAGCCGGAATGGGCAATGCGGCCCCCAAACACATGGACCCCCCCGACTCTGGTGGAGGAGAAGGTGCAGCAGACATGGGCAACCCTCCCGCATGACAGCCAGGAAAACTCGAGCTGGAAGATAGTGGGTAGGAAGGGAGGAAAAGGAGGGAAAGAGGTTTGGGTTCAGAAACAGCAGGAGCCGCCCGACCAGAGGCAAAAAGAAAATGAGAGGTGCTGCACCGCCCCAGGGCCGGCGGCAGAGCAGTATATCCACAAAGAAGGAGAGGCGGAAGTGGAGTCAAGGGGCATTCAGGTCCTTCTCGAAGACAGTCTAGCGGAACAAAAAGAACAGTTGGAAGCAGGAATACGCACACAAGGGGGAGTATTAGGACAGGAAGCATCTAACCCCCCGGCACGATTGGGACAGATGGGTGTAGAGGAGGGGCGAGAGAAACAAATGGAGGACGGGGGAATGGAGGTAGAGCGATTAGGAGGGGAAAAGATGGAGTGCTTCCGGGAGACAGCAGAAACTGACCCCTTCCATGCGGCGTTCAGTTCAGAGCCAATGGACGTTGATCCTCTTTCGGTCAACGCCAGTACGACACCGGAGGGGCTGGTCCCAGAGTGTGTTCTGCGGGAGGAAGAGGAGGGGGCGCCACCACAACACCTGCCCAAGGAACAAAAACTGGTGGCCATCGCTGATTGGTTGATGAGGAACCTGAAAGCGAAATACGGCCCCTTCACGGATGACATTTGGGACAGGACTTACCTGGAACTGTTCTCCATGCTTGATATGAGCGCCTCGCTCAAGAACGTGCTGGAAAACGGGCTGCAATCAAGGGTGAAGTGGTCGGAAGCTTGGCACCGATTGACCACAATGGTGTTTGCACGATTCCAACTGCCACATGCAACAACAGCAAAGGAGACAGAGCAGGACATGGCAGTGGATGAGTGGAACAACCCCCCGGCCCTGCACCATCCGACTTTGCCACCGGACCCGGACCCCCCAGACCGGGAGGAGAATGCCCCGCTGTCGGTGCGAATACCCTTACAAGGGTATCCGCCCTGGTTTTTGTAGGCGACATAATAGTTTTGGTTTAAAGTCTGAGTATACCGCGCGAGGCGCGGCTGAGTCTATGGTTTACATTGACTGAGTGGCTGATTATAGTAGAGAGTGTGTGGGCCTCGTAGACTGGAGGTGCGCGTGATTTCTTTCTATCTTTGATGACTAAAGAACCGGCGTGGGCGCCGGCCAAATTTTTATTTTCTGATTAAACTATGATTAAAAAGATTTTTGTCCTTTGATTGGGGCGCTTGTCTATGACTTGCGCGTACGTACAAAGGGCACGACGTCGACGGCAGCATGGTTCGGCATAATCGCGCGGTGGGCGCGGAAGGTTGATGGTCGGGAGTTCGGCTGGTAGGCCGATGTGTGGGCGTGAAACGTTTTGGTAGGCCCACGCGTAGCGCAGTGTTCGCTTATTTTTGTGTCCATCAATATTAAACCCAGCCTTGGCCTTAGCGCTGGCGGTTACAGCGTCAGACTTTCGTTAAAGAGATTCAGGGATCGAGACCAAGCGGCGATGATGTAGGAGTATCGAAGCGGCGAGGAGGGGCCTGGGGGTTGAGGACCCATCAGGGCTATCCCCCTTGGTTTTGCCGTCGGCAGGCGGGCTCTTTTTCCTCGATTCGTCATACGATTAAAATTTTCTGAATATTTTATGATTTCTGGTCCCGGGTGGCCAGCCCGTGCAAGGAGGTCCCAGCAAAAAAAAAAAAAAAAAAAAAAAAAAAAAAAAAAAAAAAAAAAAAAAAAAAAAAAAAAAAAAAAAAAAAGCCCACCAGGAACCAGGAAAACCACCCCGGAAAAGGAGACCCCACAAAAAAAAAAAGAAAAAAAAAAAAAAAAAAAAAAAAAAAAAAAAAAAAAAAAAAAAAAAAAAAATCCAAAAAATCCGAAAAAAAACTATGTTATGCAGAAAAATAAACTGAACAACTTTTGCCTCAGGGTCACATCGAAATTCTTCACCAAAATTAAAATAAAATTTAAAAATTAAAAATATATATATTTTTTTTTGGCCCGGCCGGGCAAGTGACCCCGGGCCACTCTGGTAGCCTAGATTAATTGTCAATTTTATTTTATTTTATTTTTTTGTACTGACAAATTTTGACTCAGACGCGCGGCATCAGACTTACAGACAACCACCGCGGTCAAGGACCTCGAGCACGCGGCTCCATTTGGTTGACCTACGAGTTCGTGCGTGTTCGGGATGCCGGCGAAATTTCTCGGGTCCACCTGACCTAAAAGACGGATCGAAGATGTCAGTGCATGAATAGGATAGTGGTGGGATCCATGGTCGTGGTTTCCCGGGCTTCTAGTGGACTGGAGAAAACGTTCCGAGCGGGAGCTGTGCGTGGGCAAAGCAGCCCAGGGGGCCGCAGGGCAGGGCGCCACGACCAGTCCTATGGTACATCCCCTCCCTTCATACTCAGCCTTCGGAGCTCCTTTGGATTTTGACTACCGTCACCAAGACCACGAAAGGAACACGCCTCACCGGTCTATGTGACAGGCTACGCAGCAGACCTGCTGGCCTCTTGCTATCGCTGCGACGGGACTGTTACGCTGTCGGAATATGTGTTGTGCCCCGCCGGTAACCAGCCTCTGGCGAGCTGGCTGAATCCACATGCATAGTGAAAACACTCCTTAGCGGATTTCGACTGTCATAACCACTGTCCGGCGGAGTCAATTGGCTGCCTCCGCGGCTCCCTCTCGAATGGCGTCGGGCAGTCTTCATCAAGTTGATGCGGGGCCAACCCCCATTGAGCGCAGTGGGCAGCGGTAAGGGCAGGAAAGCGACAGGCAGCGGGGCCGAACGGGCAGAAACTACCGAGTAGAGGTAAGACTACAATAAGTAAATACATATTTCAAGTCTTTTTTTTTGATTGACGATCGTGATAGTTGATTCCATAGAAACTCTTGAAAATGCAGCGCAGCTTTAAAGAGCGACGGGTAGCAGCGGAGAAGAAGCCGGAGGAGGGACTAACAGTGGGGATGAATCAAGGCGCTTTTTCGTGCCGGATTCATTCGCAGAAAGAAGCTATGGAGTTAGAGGCGGAGGGAGTAATGTAGAGGGAAGCATAGAACTTTCGCAATTCTTGAAGGGATCAGCCGACTGGAGGCCGAATTTCGGGGTTTTCGAGGAGGGTGACCTCAAATCTGGCATCAAATGAGTATGGGATTTAGTAAATTGAAAGTTAGCAAAAATAGAAGTGTGTGTGGAGATGGCGGGAGATGAAGGAGAGGAAAGGTGAAAGATGCCGATTTCGCCCGTTTCTTAGCGAAAACGGGAGGAGGAGGAGGCAAAGGGGGGGTTTCGGGCTTATGGCGGCCCCAAAATTGAAGTTAGAAATAGCAAAAGGTTAGTCGAAGGAGGGTTAGTAAAGGAAAGCAGTGCGCGAAGGATATGGAGGATGGGTGAGGGAGAGAGCGAGAAACCGATATTTCGCTCGATCCCTGATGGAATCTAGTGGAGGAAGGGGCTAGTCTGAGGTTTTAGCTTAGGGCGAATTCGCTGGTGCGGTTAGAATGGTGAGAAAGTTAGTAGAATTCGAGCTAGTAGGGAGATGGGCTGCGTGGAGCTATTGAGCGGAAAGAAGAAAGAAGGAGGAAGTAAACTTACCTCGCTCATCTCTGAGCGGATTCGAAGGAAAGAAGCGTCTACATAGGGATTTTAGGGCATTGCGACTGCGATGGGGAGGGCGGAGTTGAGAACGAGTCGTTAGTTTGACAAGTATGGGGTGCGAAGAGCTGCGGGAGAAAGGGTGCAAACTTACCTGGCATGCATCTGACGTCGTTCTGGTGAAAGATTCATTCGATTTTGCTCATCCTATCGAAGAAGGGGGTGTGCAGCCAGTCACCGGGATTGGAGACTTACCTCTTGCCCGGTGCGTCACACATAAATGTCCATGGGAGCGGTTTCAGTTGATCTCGCTGCAGACTTCACTTGGGGAAACACGGGGCTATGCCATAGCAGAGGGGCGCTGAGAGGAACAGTGGGTGATGCAGAGGGGTACTCACCTCGCTCTACTGCCCGTGGAGATTAAAGGTGTGATCCTAGTTCGGATCTTCGTGCGAGCTGCCTAGTCGCACGTCCTGCGTCTGAGGGTCGAGGCTGCCGCTAGTGGCAGCGCATCTGGCCATGTACCAGCGGAAGGACCATCCTCGTTGTACGTCCGTGGGTAGTGAAATGTGACCCGCAAACGCATGGCCCGGGCACTCAGCCCCCCGGGTGAGGTAAGCTGGAATAGCAAGATTGTCAGTGGGTGTATCGCCCGACAATCCGCGACAACTGGAAGAAGACCTCGAGTGTGTGTTGGTCGTATCCTGGAGCCTGTGGCATAGCGGGTTGTGTCGGTACAGTACATCGATGTGGGTTTGCCATTGCCGCGTTTGATTGCTAGTGTGAGTATGTTATTACTTGTTGTTGATCAGTCGTTGCTAGCCTTCTGTTGGATACTATCGTGCGAACTGAAGACTGTGGGCTGCGAACTACAGACTGTGGGCTGCGGACAGTAGACTGTGGACTACGAACTGTGGACTGCGGACTGCGGACTACAAGCTGTGGACAGAGGGCTACGAGTTTAACCACTGGTCAGGGTCGCGGCCATTCGTTTCCTACTAAGTGGCGAAGTTGCAGAATTATCGCCAGCAAGGAGGGGTGAAGCGAGGTTGGAGGCGACCTGTGGGGCGGCATGTTGCTTTCTCAGTAGTTGAAACAATGGCAAAGGGAGCTATCAGGCTGTATAGCCGGTATCAGTAGGCTGCTTTCTGGCGGCAAGCTAGTCAAGCCATGCCACCATTTCACTGGGGCGTAAGAGAAAGCTATTGGTTCTTACTCGCAGCCTGCACTTTAAATCGTAGCCATTGCACTTTTGTTCACAAACCTTACGACGTGATCGAGTCCTTTAAAAAAGGGGGGGGTCATTGCTGTGATTTGGGAGGTCATCAGAGGACCTACGGCTAGCAGTCCGACCTTGGTTTGACCAAGCTGCTATTGTTTGGCCATCATTGCGGGGCCCTCAGGCGAGTGAAGGTATCAAGGCCCTCTCCTGAGAGTTGAGTTGTCCCCCTCTTGTATCTTGAGCGTTTGAAACCCCTTATCTTCTGCCCTTCTTACTCTAAGTCTAATCCTGTTCTGAGAGGAAGGCGGCAGGTGGGATTGCAACCCGTAGGACCGCAGCAAGACTCTGTGGGGAGTCAACCCACCGATTGCGGGAGCTCTGCCGGAACTCAGGAGGAGTTCTGGAGGCAAGAAACTGAAAGGTAATCATTAAGTCCCTTCTATAAACCCATTTATAACCCTTAACTGCACCCTTTGCTATGTTTTGACTGAGTATACTGAATGCGTCCCTACTTTCAGTTTGACTTTCAGAACACAAACCAGACTAAGTAAAGGAACGCATGTGCAATATCAGTTTCAGTTTTATTGTTTGACTGAAAGCAGATTGTGGAATTGCATCTGGAGGGAAATAGGAGAAAGGCAGTATTGCATGTGTCTGACCGGGTCAACCAAAGGTTGGGCCAGTTCCATAAGTTTGGGAAGGCCCAGTGTTATGTTTATTTTGAATTGCCTGGAGAACCAGACATGTTCCATAAGTTTGGGTGGTCTGGTTGCTCTGACTTGTGAGGGCTGAATGTAATTGACTTTTCAGGGGCCAAGCATGTTCCATAAGTTTGGGTGGCTTGGTCGCCTTGTTTATTTTGGGTTTTTTGTCAGTTTCTTTAGTTCCTGAACAAGGAGGTCTGAGCATGTTCCATAAGTTTGGGTGGCTCAGCCTCTTCCTGCTTTGGCCTTGAGAGAAGTGAATCAGGCTGAGGACCAAAACATGTTTCATAAGTTTGGGTGGTCTTGGCCCAACGCCTCGCACATGCTGGAACCAAAAGGTTATAATTTGGCTATATTTTATTCGTATACTACTTATGAACAGGCTAGTCAGACAGGGTTCCATAATTTTGGGTGGTCTGGCTATAGCTTATCACCAACTGAAGAGGGTATTAATTAAGAATAAAGTTGTGGTACGAAGGGGTAGACTGAGTCTTGAGCTG